TCATAGGAAACACCCGCACACTTATCTTCGAAAAGATTGAGTAGAAAGACACAAACTCTCTTTGATTCTATCTTGATCATTGTAACCGAGTCTCCCCAATTTCCAAGGACACAATCTTATTTCTATTCCTCCATCCAGCAATCGATTTAAAGAAGTAAGAAGTGTTAGCATCCCTTTCCCTAACCATTAACCCTAGACTTTTGCTGGCTAATGATTCTTCGGTTTTGAAAGCTTGACCATCTTTCCACCTTAACTTTCTCCTCTTGTAAAAGGCACCATCAACCGGATCCACAACAAGCCTTTCTTGGACATGGGCTAGATCTCTCTGCAAATTTCACTCTTTCCAAAATGTTCCAGAACTCCTTTCTATTTAGTCTCTTCAGCTCAACCTTCAACGCTTTTAGCTTAGAGACCAGCCTGTACATGGGGTTACCCTCCACCTCCACACTCCACACTCTCTCTACATAGGTAAAAAGTCCTCATGCTCTGCCCAAAATTTGAAAAACTTGAAAGGGGATTTCTTACCTTGAAAGTTCAGCCCACTATCAACCACTATTGGACAAGGTCTGATAGCCCGGAGTAAGGAATGATGCAAAAGAGTTGGGAAACCTACTGCTCCAATGCTCATTACACATCACCCTATCAAGTTTGCACCAAATCCTCCTTTGAGCTCTCTTCTGTTATTCCAAGTGAAGAATGACCCAATGGCCTTAAGATCATCAATATCAACTTCCTTACACATGTCATTAAACTCTTCACATTGCGAATTCCATTGATTAGAACCTCCCTTTTTTCCCCCGCAAATCTAACCGCATAAAGTCGCCCATAATAACCCATGGTCACGGTGGCTAACATTGGCATGGTGGATAGCTCCTTCCATAGCTCCTTCCTTTGCCCCACACTATTCATCCATAGACAATAGACAAAAAGAGATGGAATTATCTTTCAAAATTTAACCTTACAAAGATTGTTTGAGCTGAAGTTTGGATAACCTGCACATGCAAAATATCTTTATCCCAACCCACCCAAATTCTCCCCCTTTCACAAAAACAATAGTCTCAACCCTTGCCCAATTGCAGAACACCATTTTCCTAACAAAAATCCATATTATTCTCCCTACACTAGTCTCCAAAATAGCACATAAACTTAAATTATTGCTACTAATAAGATTCCTTACCCTTTTTTGTTTAATGGGGGAATTAAGCCCCCTTACATTCCACACGGCAAATTTAACCATGGTTATGAGGTAGCTTCGGTGGAGTTCTCGCCTTCTTCGCAAGTTTCTTCCTTTTACTCTTAGAAAGACTTCCCTTCCTTCTCCAATTATCCTTTCATCCAGCGTACCAGGTTCCAAACGGTTGATAAATTGGAGAGCTAGTTCCCAGTGCACTGTCCTCAAATGTATTCAAGAAAACAGCATTGGTAATTGGAGTTCTCTCCTCTCTATCCTCATTGGCATTTGCAGGTTCCTCCCTCAAAATCGCTTAACCCAACTTTGTTTACTTTCCAGCCCTTCCTCAATACCATTCCGCTCTTCCCTCCTCCCCATTGGCAACATCTTCTCTCACCCTTTTCAGATAGCACCACAAATTGATTCACACTCTACAAGGTTTAGGGCCTCACCTTCTTTTTTCCCTCTACCCTTTGCTGACTTACTTCTCGAGGGACACTATAGTCTTCTTGCTAGCAACTTGTCTCCATTCTTGCACATGAGGAGAAGTCAGCTTTTGGGTACAACGGTTCTATTTCCTTAGGAGCCCAATGACAGTTTCTTTGGACATGCCCAAACGTTTTGCACCAAACACATGTAAATGGCTTCCATGCATACTCCACCTTAACTAATGCAATTCACCACTCGGCATCTCTAGCTCAAATTCCTCCTTAAACTCGCGAAGAAATCCACTCAATACACCTTTAGCATACTCAAGCCTTTCGCCCGACTCGGTATATTGTCCATAAAAGAGGGGTGCCTATTACACTTGCTATAGGCTTAAACCTTGGGGGTCCATCACAAGAGGGATACCATAGAATTTCCCCATATGGGTACCCTAGTAATCCCATTCATGCCAACGACAAATTAGGAGTCCATAACTTCAAAAGAAAGGTTGTCCTCTAGAACCATGGACCACCCTCTAGCACACCATTTTAGTAACCTCATCTGGGAACTTGAGCAAATAGCCCCCATGCCCATATGGAGTGACCCCCACAGCTCCAAACGACTCCAATTTTATCACATAGCTCTTTACTTGGTAAAACGGCAATTTCCTCCAAGGAAAAAACCTGACTAGACAATTACTCCATTTGTATATCCTAAAGCTGCAATTTCGTAGGGATTGAAATTCTAAACTTACCACCTTCCTTTCTCATATTTGGTTTGACATATTCAAGGGAAATATCAGACATTTTGAGACAAGAACACTTGTCCAAGCTCCTTTTTCCTCCCCTTTCACCTGTTTTGATCACCACAACCATTTGGCTTCTCAATTCTTCACTCCATCCACCACTTTGCTTGGGAGAGGGGGGTAATCCTTAGAAATCTCATCAAACTCGCTGCCACATTTTCATAAAATCTACCCTTTCCATCAGAGCAGCTCCTAGCTCGGATTGAACTCACCTTTAGCCAATGGCACATAATTCCGGCCTGATTTTCTATAGCAATAGGTGGCCCTACAACCTCACGGCTTATCCACACCATGGCAGATTGTGAGCTGCCCATTTTCACTACCCTAGAAGAAACACGGGTACCCTCCAAAGCACTCTTGGATTCAGCACAAACAGCTCCTCTATCCACCCAAAAAATTTGACCTTCTTCAAATTCGGAATTCCCTCCATAATAGGTTTCACCAACCGGACTTGGATAAACTCTTATTAGAAATGGTGGCCCTTCAAGACTCCAGTAGGCACCAAAGCACCATTCCTAACACTTTCAATTTCTTTTCTTCAATGTTTTGATACTGCTCACTAAACCACAGCTTTTCCACATTCAACAGCCCCATGGGTGGCAGGAGGAGAGGTAGCAGAAAAAATTGAATTTTTTTTTCTCACCTAATGATGTGGCACCTCGGGTGGGGTGGCACCTAGGGTGACGTGGCACCCGTGAGGGGATGAGTGTGACAAGGCAGTGAGGTGGCATGATTTTGATGGTTATGCTCATAGGATTTAAGAGGAAGAGAGTTTGATCAAAGAAGATTCTTAAAGGGTTGAAGTTGCTCATATCAAATGATAGTAATCCTACCTAAGTAGATTTAAGTTATGTTGTGTAGAGAATTTTCTTATGCATAATATGTGTTATATGTAGAATTGTTGATGGATTTGGTATTGAATAATAAGTAGAACCTATCCATGAGAAGTTGGGTTGGTGTATGTGATACTTGATAAATGTTTGGTTGAGATTTGGAAGAGTTGAAGTGAAAATTTGAAGTGTGTATTTGGGCAGATTTGGTGTTAGTTATGGAGGAGTTTATGCCAAATTTTTGGTTGCCTAAAATAGAGAAATAAGTGTGCCAAATTAGTGTTCTTGTGCACATGAATTGTTTAATGAAATGCCAAAGAGAAGTGCATGTATGAGTATGATTATGTATTACTTTGGGATGAGTTTGTAGATGGTAGAGAATGACATGTTTGCATTCCATAATGCATAATTGTATTTAAACATGTGAATTTAGAAAGAATTATAAGCATTAAATCATCTACATGCATACATATTCCTAAGAGCATGAAAAATCACTAAAATATGTTAAAAAGAAAATAGAAAGAAATGAGAATATTAAAGATATTCAAATCTAAATTTTTAGTTAAAGAAGTGTAAAAAAAAAAAAAAAAAAAAAAGAGAATATTGTTGCGATGGGGAGCCCTGAGTGACATAGTCCCACATATACGCCGCCTTAAGTGAGCGGCCTCAAAATTCAAAAAGAAGAATTGTATAGTCCGTTCAAAGTGCATGTGGATGAGGACTGTACCCAAAATTAGAGAATTCACTCACACGGCCAAAGCTCCAAATTCATGCCTCAACCGAGTCCGATCGGCAAGAAAAGAAAGAATAGAAATAAATAAATAAAGAAACAGAATAAGAAAAATAGAAAAGAAAATGCATACTCATCATAAATATGCATAATACCATGCTCATTATCATGAGTAGTAAACATTAGAAAACAGAGAGCAAAACAGAGAAAGAATAGAGAATAATCGGGAAATGTGATGTAAGGAAAGAAAATTCGGAATTTAAGCAACGGAGAGAGAAGGGTAGCATAGTGAGTTTACTTACTAAGCAATTAGTGCTCACTCCATTGTTTTCAATGTTTTTGCAGGTAATAGGTGAGTTGCAGTCACACAAAACATCGCGGTGTGGAAGGATTGAGCTACACTGTCAAGTTACTATTTTAAGTATATTTTGTAAATATATATATATATATATATATATAGATGGGCCCATACTTTATTACTCGTTTATATGTGCATTTTCATATATATGTTTTCATGATTATTTTACGAATATACTAGCTAGAAAGAAAGTATTACATCCATAGAGTCAATATACAACAATATGATTGGCTCTAAAGAACCTACTCTAACGATTAAAACAATTCTTCAAGTGACTGAATGGATTAAGAAAGCAGAAACTAAGAAATCCATTTTAGAATTGACAATATGGGTTAAGGCTCGATAGAGAATGAAAAAATGAGAAAAACCAAAAAAAATGGAAAAAACGAAAAAAAAAATTCCAATTTTAGGGCTTGAAAATTAGGCGTAAGAGTTAACCAGATTTTGCCCCAAAACCAATTGGATTGGCAGGTTGCTACAGTAAGCCCAATCCAACTACGGATAATACCGAATGAATGCATACCCCAGGTTTTTAGGGTGGCCCAACCCAGTTTAGAGGTCGGTTCCCGGTTGAACCGACGGGCCAGACAAGGTTTTAAAACATTGCTCAAATACGCAAAGAGCTTCTTTGCATAAACAATCAAGCTAGGCATAAAGCAGTGCAACAGACATCCTCCAGGTAAAAGAAATATAATAAAATTGTGAATTGGAATAATAATTTCGTTAATGTTTCTGTACCAACACATTTCTAATGTTACATGAATGTATCTCTATCTCTGATACTTTGATTATCATTATGAATTTTAATTCTTCTTTCGGAATAAAAAATATAAAGGAATATTGTTTCAATCCTGGATATCTCAGGCCCTGAATAGTTTAAATAATTTAGTCTAATTTGTCTCAACAAAGGCTTGGATAGAAATTAGATGATGTCTTAAAGGCTTTGAGGTCTTTAATAATATGGAAAGATTCTGCTTGAGTTTCAGCCTCTTTCATGTCAGTGTTGCAACCCCATACTCGCACTGCAAGTCTCCGACACTTTGGAGATGATTGCACCAGATACTTGTTGAACCATTCAATAATGTCATTCTTGTTTACGTTTTTGAGTTCCTCTGCTTCCTTTTGTGACAGATCAAACATATACCTAGAAACCAACGATTAACAGATTTATAACAACATATTAGGTAAGAGCCTTTAATAAGATTACGAATGGAATGATATGGAAAAACACAACTATGTAATACTTATCACTCTTCGTACCTATGTGAAAACTGCAAAACCTATTACCTCCTTTTATAAGCATTCTAATTTTTTCATCAATAATCGCATCATGTCCAGAGATATTTAATTGCATGGCCTAAAGTATTAATAACTTTTAACTAAAGTCTACACCAAACCTAAAGCAGATGTGTTGTACCTTTTATCAATGATCTGATTCCAAAATCGATTGGTTTCGTATGTGAGGGAAGGATCTTTCTCCAGTAGCTTTGCTGTTAAACCACTTTTGTAATTCTCAAAGGACTGATCATCAAGCCCTTCCTGCAATGCCATACACCATAATCAGAGAATTTATGAATCAAATATTAAGTATTTATCATGCGAAGTTATCAATTACGGAATCAACTGCAACAGTTCTAGCACCTATTCATAAATCACGAATATTAATAAAGAAAGATCCGGCATAGTTAACCAAAAAGGGCCTGTTAAAGCAGGAGCAAACAACAGAAAAACTGATAGAAATTGCTAGAATCAGCAAGACAGCTATAAATTCTAGCCAAATTCAGCCACGAAAGGACTACTCTTGAAATTAAAATTTTTCAAATCCTGCTTTCAAGTCTCTGCCAGATATTGCCCATTCAGACTATTTTACTATTAGCAATCTGAAATTTCAAAATACAATTGAGTATATTGTTTTAAGCACAACAATCTCTCTTCATGATTAAACCACGGAACATTCCTGTGCTTCTAACTTTAAAATGTTGAAAGCTTAATACCATTAAGAACATAATCAATAGAAAGCCATCAATTGACGATAGAAGATAACAAAAGTTTTGAAAGCAAGCAGTATTTGCAGAAAACAACAAAAAAAAAAAAAAAAATGCACTTACCAACAACTCTTGCAGGCTACTTATGAAGTTGTCAATTCTCTCCTGCAAATAAATTGGATTGTATTTGGAAGATTGAACACAAAAGCAAAACCCAAAAACACGGTAAGTTATACGTGGGCTACTTTCAACAACATAACCAAGCTGCTCCTTTGTCCTACATTCCCACACAGAGACAGAAATTTCAGCAAACACAAAGAAAAGAAATTGTCCGTTCATGTCACTAACAGTTAATTCCCCAACATATCACACTCTCCCAAAAGGTTGAATAAAGAGAGAAACAAACAAATTATATACATCATCAAAATTAGGGAACTCTAATGCAATTTAAGTAGCTAGATCAATCTAAGACATTTTATATTGTTCAAAACCATTCTTTATGTACTACTCCAATCTTCTTCGCCTTTCCTTACGTGTCTATCCTAGAGGAGGTAGAGGAAAATATTGACACAAATTTCTGGCTCAAGAAATATCCTAGGTACATTAATCACATAAAACCCACATCCCTTTTGAAGAAAAATAATATTGATATTCACAAATCAAAAAAAAAAAACAAAAACACAAAAAAACAAAAAAACAAAAAACAAAAAGATCAAAAAACAAAACAAAACAAAGAAAAAAAAAAAGATTCATTTTCAAATGCTCAGTATTATATAAAATCACCTCAGCTGATTAAAACATGGTTCCTCCACAATTTCATCAAAAAGATCTACCAAAGCCTTCAATTTTATTGATTCAATCCCATTTTCCTGTTCAATTTGAAAATAAAGCTGCAATGCAAAACCAAAATCAAAACCAATTAGAAATATGAAGAATGGGAATGAAAAGATAAAAGGCAGCCTAAAGAAAAGTTAAAGGAATAATTTGACCATTTTCAGCTACCTCAACAACAGAGTTTGTTTCACACTTATTCTTCACACTGACATCTCTGACCAGGTTGGCACCAGAAGGAAGACATATTACATGCTCTTGATGCCTCATTTCAACTGGAATTGGTTTTACCAAGAAGTTACTTTTAAATATATTTGATATATGAATTGCTTCATCTTCCAACAAATTGCCATGACAAATTCCCTCAATAAACAGCTGTACAATATATATGGGAAGCAGTGAGTAGTGTGGAAATAAGAACAGTTTGTACTGAAAATCATTTATTTAAAAGAAATAAAACCTGAGGCCCCAAAATTAACAAACTAGGTTGACTTATATCTCTGATTGCATGGCATAAAGCAATAATCACCAAAGAACAGACAGTAAGGTTAAAGATACTTGTAGACCACCCCACAAATGATACTTTATCCTATTAGAAGCCCCTAAACGAAGTTCACATTTTTCTCCCATTCATCTCTTCTTCCATATTTTAAATTCCATTTATGTTTTGAGTTATGCAAAAGAAACTAACCACATACATTTCAATCTTATAGCTTTGTTAGTAATTTAAAGCCTACAACTAAAATTTCATTAGGATAAACAGCAATGTAACCTTTCCAAGCGATAATATTTACAGATGCTCGTGAAGTAAGAATGTTTAATCGAATTAATACAAGGCTCCATCTTTTCTTGTCCTTTCAGGGTTCAATCCACAGTTTCTGTTACTTGTAATTCAAACTCCCAGATTTAGAAATTTGTTTCTGACAGCCAAAAGACACTGAAAACCAGTGCCATCTTTTTGCCTTGAGGGAAACCATAACCAGGGAATAAGAACTAAAAAGGTCAACTGTGCTACCTCCTTTAACAACCAATTTCTTTTGCTTCTATTCTATATACCACCAAATCCAAAGATCCAACATAGCTGTTCTCAAAACTGAGACAAATAGAAAAAGGAGAGTTGACTGCTCCCAGACTGAGTCAGTGTTTGGCATATATTAACTCATGATTTTGTCCCTGCCTGAGTCTTCTTTAAAACTATTTTCAAAGAGCCAAAGGCAGATTGACCAAAAAAAAAAAAAACATTTTACTGAACAATTCTGATTTTGAACTACATATCCTATGGTTGGTGTAGGTGTATCTTCATTTACCATATGCTTCAACATTAATAGTAGCAGCCTACTTCCAGTTCTTCAACTTTTATATGCTTATTATGTCCTAAGCTTAAAACACATAATAGTGTGAAGCCTTCAAATTTCTGGCCAGTTATTAAAATCTGGCAAACTGATGCACATAAATGCTAATCATCAAGCATCGCATACCTGGGAAAGAAGCTTGGGAATAAATGTCTTCAAATCAGCAAGAGACAGGTCGTTTAGTACCCATAACTTCTCATCCACATCATAGAAACTCTCACATAGAACTTGTAGTCTCAAATATGATGAATGACTTAGAGGCTTCATATTGGTATTTTTCAGAGTTCTCCCCATATCTTCTTTAACAACCTGGTAATTTCAACGTCAGTTTTATAACATATGAGCAAAAACCAGCAAATAAACTTCAAATTTAATGCAGCATGAAATTTATTAATATACAGTTAGAGTGACTAAAATCCAGAGGTTCATTGCAGCATTTTAATTGATACTTAATATCAAGAATCAGTTTACAATCCAATCAAAGTTATTATACAATCAATCATGGGAAACTAACTAAACTGCTGCTTTTCTTAGCTTGCATGTTGTTTGCACTAAAATGGACACCTGCAGATACATATTCCAGTATTCAAGCAGATAAATACTCTTCGGATCATGCAAATAATTAAAATATACGAACCCACCTCCCGGAGTTTTTATAAGAAAATGATCATAAAACACAGCACATGGAATATGAGGAGGAAAAAGTACATAGATAGAAAAGACAAAGTACATTTACCTTAAAACGTTCATCAGTCGGTAAAAAAGATTTGGCTACTGCCAAAACCTTAGATAACAGAACTGGAAGCTTATCATTGAAGCCATAAACCTTCAGTTCCAACTTGTCACCGAAGAAAGACACAGAAGTTTCCAACTTGGCAACACTAGCCTGGAGACAAAGAAAATGATAATTTTTGTCAAGCAGAAACCTAAAATTCCATACATGTATCTAAAACTTAATGCAAAATGTGCAGGTCAGAAACTGAATGAAAATAGAGATCAGCATTATGACAGAAAGCATCCAATGAAGTTGATATTAATATCCAACAACAGCAGAATACAAGAATTGAGACCATTACTAATAAATAGTTTAAAACTTGTGAGTGATTCAACATAGCCAGTGCCTACCCTAAGGGCTGGTACCAGTAGTGTGAATTGCAACGGATTCCCCGTTATCCAAAAATAAAAGTATACTATAAAATTCTCAAAATTTAACTGCAAAATGTTGAAAATCAATTAAAATTGAAAAACAGGGGAATCAAATTGGAAGGCAACTAATCAAATTCAATTAAAAAGAAAATATTGGTGGGCAGTGGAAGTTCCTATGCTCGTGATGTTGGTTTTAACAGGCCAAAACACTGGAATCTGTTGGTGGCTTCAATTCATCACGGGTTGTTCGGAGTTTTCCTCAGTGGTATGTCAAATGTATCCTCTCATTCCACAGTTAAGGCCATGGGACACTACAGCTTTACTTATATATAAAAAATATTTGAGAAAAAAATAAAGAAAAAAGAAAAAGCTTTGGCATGATTAGCTCAGGAGGAGAATTACCAGAAACAAAAATCAAAATTTACACACAAGCACAATTTATGACAAAAGATAGGTAACTACCTGATATATGATCTCATTCAGCTCATCTTTAAGAAGGTTAATGAATAGTTCAGTCAAAAGACAACTCTTTACATTATCATATGCCTCCTTCAGATTTATGCGGAAATATGTATTTGCACGAGGCAGTTTAAAAGTATTATCAAGCTTGTACCAAAACTTGATTAATGGTTCATTAATTATACATATCGGAGAAGATACATTTCCAGGACCATCAGATGTGTTATTAGCTCGAACGGAAAAATCCAATGGAATGAACTCATTTTTTGAGGGCAGTTGTAATGATGCATCAATTTCTGGAGGATCCCTCCATAATTTCATCAAAGATGGGGAAACATCTTCCTCAGTATAGTGTGACCCAAACCAAGGCTCATAAAGGGAATCTGAAACCATTTACAAAGTGAAGCAAATGTTTCATCAATCACTTAAATAAAAAGTTAACTTCAGATTGTCATCTAATTAGAGAACACGTGTGTGTTCATCAATGTAACACATCCTAAAAATTTCTAGGCATGCAATAAAAACATATACTAAAATTGACCGTTCTAGAAATTTACCTTCTGACTTCTTGAAAGATTTTGACACAACATCAATCCTCATGTTTTCTGGAGTGAAGAAACCCAGTAAATTTTTTATCATTTCCTTGTCCCATTCCTTGTACACATAGTCCCCATAAATAACATGTTCTGCTGGATAAACAAGTAAATTCGCTGCAATGACAAAATAATAACCCCTAGTTAAGTACAGAGAAATGACATAATCCAAACAAGATTAGATGTTTGGATGCTAATGTATACCACGTAGAAAATTTTTCATGTTAATTAAAACACTATTGAAAAGCATTAAGGTCAATGACCATACTCTAACCTGTAATATGGAATAAATCAAAATACTCCTAAATTGTTGGCATTTATCACACTAGCATAAACAGCTATAAAATAAATGTTCACTAATATCACGAATGGTTAAGTTCTCAGATTTGCGAGTAGCAAAGACCTCAATAACATTTCTAAATCCATGAAAGTTGCCTTTATCCGAGGTATATCAATCATATAATCAAATTATTAACACCTTAAACCTCGGATTTAGCAAACCAAAAAGAACCAGATGCAAGTGAACAAAATAAACAATGTAACACCTGCAAGCTCCGCAGCATAATCATCCTGCGGTTGCTCCTCTGCAAATCTAAATTCCATGTTACCAATATCTTGTAGTTCCTTGAATATCCATTCTTGGGGAGAAAATTCACGCAACAACTTAAGGTATTGATAAACAAATCCAATTATGTCAAAGATCTGCAAAATATGGAACACAATCTAGTTAAAAAGAACTTGTAAAAGAAAGCACAATAAAAAAAAAAAGATGCATGAGCTATTTTCGAATAAATTCACAAATTTAGATACATAAAGAAAATCCAACACAAAACCACATAGTTTACATACATTATATATCATAGTAGTCAAAGCACCAATTTGCAGCAATTCCAAGGCAGGTAAAAATGGTAGTCAAACGAACAAAGCACCAAGACCCTAGCACGACCTAAACTTGCAACATAGAATAAATAAAGCACCAACACCTAGTAAGTCCTAAACATGCTATTCAGAAACATGCACTCTAGATGAACAAACAACACATTAGCGAGGCAAAAACAATCCATCAAACACATACACACACAAAAAGAAAGAAAGAAAGAAAGAAAAGACATGTTCTCAAGTAGCAAACATGTGTAAGCCAAATCATCATCTAGAAGAATTTGATAATTAATCTAGCAGAGTATCCTGAGCTCTACATTAAAACAGTTACAGTGCAACAAAGAGAACTAGATGGATCATGATATGGAAGATAATAATTACCTTTTCCAACCCAGAATCTGTGATATACCACCAAATCCAAAGATCCAACATAGCTGTTTTCAAAACTGAGACAAATAGAAAAAGGAGAGTTGACTGCTCCCAGACTGAGTCAGTGTTTGGCATATATTAACTCATGATTTTGTCCCTGCCTGAGTCTTCTTTAAAACTATTTTCAAAGAGCCAAAGGCAGATTGACCAAAAAAAAAAAAAAAAAACATTTTACTGAACAATTCTGATTTTGAACTACATATCCTATGGTTGGTGTAGGTGTATCTTCATTTACCATATGCTTCAACATTAATAGTAGCAGCCTACTTCCAGTTCTTCAACTTTTATTTGCTTATTATGTCCTAAGCTTAAAACACATAATGGTGTGAAGCCTTCAAATTTCTGGCCAGTTATTAAAATCTGGCAAACTGATGCACATAAATGCTAATCATCAAGCATCGCATACCTGGGAAAGAAGCTTGGGAATAAATGTCTTCAAATCAGCAAGAGACAGGTCGTTTAGTACCCATAACTTCTCATCCACATCATAGAAACTCTCACATAGAACTTGTAGTCTCAAATATGATGAATGACTTAGAGGCTTCATATTGGTATTTTTCAGAGTTCTCCCCATATCTTCTTTAACAACCTGGTAATTTCAACGTCAGTTTTATAACATATGAGCAAAAACCAGCAAATAAACTTCAAATTTAATGCAGCATGAAATTTATTAATATACAGTTAGAGTGACTAAAATCCAGAGGTTCATTGCAGCATTTTAATTGATACTTAATATCAAGAATCAGTTTACAATCCAATCAAAGTTATTATACAATCAATCATGGGAAACTAACTAAACTGCTGCTTTTCTTAGCTTGCATGTTGTTTGCACTAAAATGGACACCTGTAGATACATATTCCAGTATTCAAGCAGATAAATACTCTTCAGATCATGCAAATAATTAAAATATACGAACCCACCTCCCGGAGTTTTTCTAAGAAAATGATCATAAAACAGAGCACATGGAATATGAGGAAAAAGTACATAGATAGAAAAGACAAAGTACATTTACCTTAAAACGTTCATCAGTCGGTAAAAAAGATTTGGCTACTGCCAAAACCTTAGATAACAGAACTGGAAGCTTATCATTGAAGCCATAAACCTTCAGTTCCAACTTGTCACCGAAGAAAGACACAGAAGTTTCCAACTTGGCAACACTAGCCTGGAGACAAAGAAAATGATAATTTTTGTCAAGCAGAAACCTAAAATTCCATACATGTATCTAAAACTTAATGCAAAATGTCCAGGTCAGAAACTGAATGAAAATAGAGATCAGCATTATGACAGAAAGCATCCAATGAAGTTGATATTAATATCCAACAACAGCAGAATACAAGAATTGAGACCATTACTAATAAATAGTTTAAAACTTGTGAGTGATTCAACATAGCCAGTGCCTAATCTAAGGGCTGGTACCAGTAGTGTGAATTGTAACGGATTCCAAGTTATCCAAAAATAAAAGTATACTATAAAATTCTCAAAATTTAACGGCAAAATGTTGAAAATCAATTAAAATTGAAAAACAGGGGAATCAAATTGGAAGGCAACTAATCAAATTCAATTAAAAAGAAAATATTGGTGGGCAGTGGAAGTTCCTATGCTCGTGATGTTGGTTTTAACAGGCCAAAACACTGGAATCTGTTGGTGGCTTCAATTCATCACAGATTGTTCTGAGTTTTCCTCAGTGGGATGTCAAATGTATCTCTCATTCCACAGTTAAGGCCATGGGACACTACAGCTTTACTTATATATAAAAAATATTTGAGAAAAAAATAAAGAAAAAAGAAAAAGCTTTGGCATGATTAGCTCAGGAGGAGAATTACCAGAAACAAAAATCAAAATTTACACACAAGCACAATTTATGACAAAAGATAGGTAACTACCTGATATATGATCTCATTCAGCTCATCTTTAAGAAGGTTAATGAATAATTCAGTCAAAAGACAACTCTTTACATTATCATATGCCTCCTTCAGATTTATGCGGAAATATGTATTTGCACGAGGCAGTTTAAAAGTATTATCAAGCTTGTACCAAAACTTGATTAATGGTTCATCAATTATACATATCGGAGAAGATACATTTCCAGGACCATCAGATGTGTTATTAGCTCGAACGGAAAAATCCAATGGAATGAACTCATTTTTTGAGGGCAGTTGTAATGATGCATCAATTTCTGGAGGATCCCTCCATAATTTCATCAAAGATGGGGAAACATCTTCCTCAGTATAGTGTGACCCAAACCAAGGCTCATAAAGGGAATCTGAAACCATTTACAAAGTGAAGCAAATGTTTCATCAATCACTTAAATAAAAAGTTAACTTCAGATTGTCATCTAATTAGAGAACACGTGTGTGTTCATCAATGTAACACATCCTAAAAATTTCTAGGCATGCAATAAAAACATATACTAAAATTGACCGTTCTAGAAATTTACCTTCTGACTTCTTGAAAGATTTTGACACAACATCAATCCTCATGTTTTCTGGAGTGAAGAAACCCAGTAAATTTTTTATCATTTCCTTGTCCCATTCCTTGTACACATAGTCCCCATAAATAACATGTTCTGCTGGATAAACAAGTAAATTCGCTGCAATGACAAAATAATAACCCCTAGTTAAGTACAGAGAAATGACATAATCCAAACAAGATTAGATGTTTGGATGCTAATGTATACCACGTAGAAAATTTTTCATGTTAATTAAAACACTATTGAAAAGCATTAAGGTCAATGACCATACTCTAACCTGTAATATGGAATAAATCAAAATACTCCTAAATTGTTGGCATTTATCACACTAGCATAAACAGCTATAAAATAAATGTTCACTAATATCACGAATGGTTAAGTTCTCAGATTTGCGAGTAGCAAAGACCTCAATAACATTTCTAAATCCATGAAAGTTGCCTTTATCCGAGGTATATCAATCATATAATCAAATTATTAACACCTTAAACCTCGGATTTAGCAAACCAAAAAGAACCAGATGCAAGTGAACAAAATAAACAATGTAACACCTGCAAGCTCCGCAGCATAATCATCCTGCGGTTGCTCCTCTGCAAATCTAAATTCCATGTTACCAATATCTTGTAGTTCCTTGAATATCCATTCTTGGGGAGAAAATTCACGCAACAACTTAAGGTATTGATAAACAAATCCAATTATGTCAAAGATCTGCAAAATATGGAACACAATCTAGTTAAAAAGAACTTGTAAAAGAAAGCACAATAAAAAAAAAAAGATGCATGAGCTATTTTCGAATAAATTCACAAATTTAGATACATAAAGAAAATCCAACACAAAACCACATAGTTTACATACATTATATATCATAGTAGTCAAAGCACCAATTTGCAGCAATTCCAAGGCAGGTAAAAATGGTAGTCAAACGAACAAAGCACCAAGACCCTAGCACGACCTAAACTTGCAACATAGAATAAATAAAGCACCAACACCTAGTAAGTCCTAAACATGCTATTCAGAAACATGCACTCTAGATGAACAAACAACACATTAGCGAGGCAAAAACAATCCATCAAACACATACACACACAAAAAGAAAGAAAGAAAGAAAGAAAAGACATGTTCTCAAGTAGCAAACATGTGTAAGCCAAATCATCATCTAGAAGAATTTGATAATTAATCTAGCAGAGTATCCTGAGCTCTACATTAAAACAGTTACAGTGCAACAAAGAGAACTAGATGGATCATGATATGGAAGATAATAATTACCTTTCCCAACCCAGAATCTGTGAGGTGTATAGACATGCCAAAGATGTATGCCAAAGAAGATCGATGCATTCCTTCATCGCTAACCCCAGCAGCAATAGAAGTTGCCCATCCTCTAGCTTTAAGAAACGAATGCAAACTTCCTTTGCCCTCTGAAAAATATGAACTTTGTACTCAGAGTTTATTAAAGCTAAATCATAGGGCCGGCGATATAAACTCAAATGAATTTGATTAAGGCAGAGAGACCCTGGAAAGCATCTAAATGAGGACAGAGATCATTCTAGAAAGCTATGTCATTCACAAAGAGACGATAAGAGGCTAATCAAATAAATGTTTTGAGTTTTTTCTTTTTACTTAATTCCCATTACTGAGATCTTATGCTCCAATGAAAAGTTGCCCCTTCAAAATTCCAATACAAAGTTGCCTCGTGTGAATTACGGCATCAACAAATAGGTCTTCTTTCCTATGAACAGTAACCAGTTAAGTTTAAAAGTTTACGCATTAAGTTTAGGACACATCCATACAAAGGAAAGCATAATTAGGAGAACCTCTTTTATCTAAGGTGAATATGTAGATAAAGGAACTGAGAGCTCCATGATAATTGGAAGTCATAATGATAGAATTGCTTTAAGAGCACATAACTGCAAGGTATCAGAATGACATAGAAAGCATATAAGATAATGCTAATATAAAAGAAATCAGCATTTCCCTTCTTTTGCATACATGCAAATCCTATATTGGATATAATTATCCACAACACAGGAAAAATCTTACCATGTCCCATGAGGTGGGCTATATAATCTTCAGATTTCTTCAGATAGTCTTGACGAAGACATGGCAGCGTCCATGTTAAGTCAAGGATATGAACATCTTTAACTGCCTCCAATCTATACAGTTTACCAGCTTTCCAGATGGGCCCTTTAATAGAAAATTCTGGTTTTACGCCAGAACCTTTTTGGACATTAGCAAATAATTCCACAACCCAACTCTCAAGCATATCAAGAGGTTCTGCAAAAATTGCAAACAATATTATCAGGCAAGATTTATTTAATGCACTAGCACCTCTCAGAAATTTCAGTTCAATTTCACCACATCACTTTAAAACTTAAAGCATGCACAACAAGGCATGACAACTATCAGTTTAAGTGCATTGATACAGAAAACCAAAATTTTACCTCCTCCGATGACCACTAGCTTCATGAGTCCGCCATGGTAATAGTCTCCATACAATTTCAAAATTTGTTCATGCAAATTTATCCCTTTTTCCATAGCATCAGCCAGACTCTTTTTATTCCCTACATTTAAGGAAAACAGCATTTCATATAAACAGTTTAAACAAATGATCACAAAATGGAAGCTAGCAAGCTTACCCCAAAAGAATTTGTTCAAAGGGTGACCATCTACAGATGTATGGCATTGAAGTTGTTGAAGACGACAATCATCATTTTGCAAAGCCTGGTTAAATTCTGCTCATTTTGGTTCACATAGTAGTCAATGAAGAATATGTCAGCTACATACTTAAGTTATAAAATGTAAGTAAGTGAAAACTGAATTCCGTTTCAATATAGAAGAACAATAGTTTTCAATGAGAGTAGTATACCTGAATCAACAGCAAGTACCTCTCGCTCCATAGCTTCCATTTTGACAAGCGGAGAAATGAAAAACTGAGAAAACCTGCTAAAGCAAAAAGAGCAACATAAATAACAAATACCCCCATTTATTACTCAGGATGATACATCAGGTAGAGGTAAAATATGAATGTTGATCAAGATGTAGGGAAAGGAAGAAGAAATTCAGCTAAAACATGAAAAATCCACATCAGTTTCACAATTGTTTTCTAGAAGAACAGCAGTTCATCTTGTTCACATTAATATGAAATAGCCAAAAAATAATAATAATAATAATAATAATAAGGCAGAACAACAACATGATAATACCGACCTCATGATGCATTAAAAAAAAAATTTCAACCACGCTTCATTAGAACAAAAAACATTACAAGGAGCAAGAGGACTTTGGTTATCGAAACTCTATGCATAAAGAAATCAGCATTTACCTCATCAATGCACCCTTAAGATACTCTCTTTTGACTTCAAAATGGTAACAGGTATGTTCACTTTCCGTATACGCATTAGATGAGCCACCATGCTTGGACAAATAACTATCATACTAGCACAGAATAGAGTCAAACTGGTTGGACGAATGATAATCATCTTACCAAACACAATTAAATAATTAACAAATACATAACAGTAGCTGAATATGCATAACATTCTAGACCATCGAAATGCAACTAACATGAGATTCAATCAATATAAAAATCCAGCATATTGAACAACAAACGAAACTGTCAGACTCAAACACATTACGTATACTTGACTACTAATTTCTCCTTCAGTAGGATTGGTTGCCGCCTGAAACAAATGCTTCTAAAAAACTGATTTTGCTCTAGAAAAAAAAAAAAAAAAAAAAATCAGAGTACTTGTACACACCCATTTCCTAAGTACACTCACTGAAAAATGTTAAAAATTAGATTTTCAATTAAAATATTTTCACAATTACAACATAAAATCAGTATAAAAATGAAGTAGATGATGTAAACAAATCATTTTAAAAAATTTATTGATGGGTGCATTTAATAAAATGGGCATGTAGAGTATTTTGATAGGATGCAAATAGCCCCACCCCCATAGAAAATAATTTAGACAAACAGACCTCATTTTCGTCAGGAAATTCAGTACTCCCCATGAAGAGCATGTGTTCTGCAAATTATAAAACCAATCTCATCTAATTAAACCCATACACACTCCAAAAAATAAGCACAGAAATAAAGGACAAGACGTAACCTAGAAAATGAGCAAGTCCTTGCGCCTCAACAGGATCACAGAAACTGCCTATTCCTACACACATTGCTGCAGCTGCCTACAAATTTTAAAATTAGAACTTCCAATTCAATATTTAAAAACTCAAACTGAAAATCTGATTTAAGAAAAAAACTAAGTACCTTCTTAGTCTGAGAAGAAGTTCCATTTCCTTTCTCTGCTTTCTCATCGTCTTCGTCTTCATCCTCGTCCTCTTCAGATTCTTCGTCTTCATCTGCAAAATCAGACGCTCCTTCTTCTTCGTCTTCGTCTTCTTCATCTAGAGTGTTTTCTAGGGTTTTAGAATCGTCGGAGTAAATCTCAGGATCGTGAACAAGCAAAGCACAAAGTCGATTCTCAAGTTGTATTACTCTGTAAAGTCTTCTGTCGTTTGGAGATTTAATTACAGCATCATCGGACGACCAAATGCAACACTTGCTCCCATTCTTTCTCACAAGCAGCATAGGAAAATTTAGCTGCCCGGCCATCAAGTCTCGATTTAAGAAAATGGTTTTTGAAACTGTTTTTCTTTTTTTTTTAATTTAGAGAAGATGACGTGACATGATTAGGATTAATTAAACACGTAAAATAGGTTAAACTGACAAGATTAAAACAATATAGGCCGAATCATAAATAATGAAAGTTTCTAAAATTTGAAATTTCTCAAAACAAGCCCACCTATTCACCTCGTCTAATCGAAATTCATTAGGGCAAAAAGCTTTCTTGAACCAAAGGAGACTGCGATTTTTTTCAATCGAACCTGCAAATTTGTACCCTAAAATCAATTTCTGAACCCTAAACCGAATACAGTGTGATTTCAGGCGATATAGTTGCGATTTTCGATCGATTTGTTGAACCCTAAAATCGATTTCCTTAACCCTAAACGGAATTTGTGCGATTTCCGGCGATACAGTCCACATTTCGATCGAAACTGCAACCTTTGACACCAAATTCAATCCAAAACCATGGCTGACACTCACAATGAGGAGGAAAACCCAACGCCACTTCGAATCCTAGATTCGGTGGCGCAAGCAGTTCAATGGTTGCTCTGGTGGATCAACCGATTGTAAAGATGGTCTACACGTAGAGGAGACGCCGGCGGCACAAAGAACAGAGGGAAGAATCGGCAAACGGTTCTGAAGACGAGGAGGCAAGCGAGAATTCAAGCCAGGAGGAGGAGTCGGCGAGAATTCAGGCCAGAGGAGTTGTCCGAGGATTCGGCGACGAGGAAGAGGCCGATGAAGAAAAGGTATGTTGTTTGGGAATATTGCTTGTACTGTCGATTAAGCGATCATTTGTATCGTTAAGCGATTAATGTTTTACTCATGATCGCTTAAGCGATACAAGGATCGCTTAAGCAATTGAAAGTTACTCTTGGTCGCTAAGCGATTTCAGATGCTTAAGCGATCTTGTCGAAGCAGAATCACAGATATAATAAGCGATATTGTATCGCTTAAGAGATTCTTTCAGTTTGCTCTTGGGCGCTTAAGTGATTTCAGATCGCTAAGCGATCTTGCCTGAGGCAGAGTCAAGATCTCTTAAGCGATCCGAAATCGCTTAAGCGACTACAGTGGTAATTTTTTGTTATCGATATTTTGTTATTAGTTGTTTGGTTTATTTTTGTTGTGTAACATTTTGTTTATATCGATTGTGCAGATTGTGCAACCGTAAATGTAGAGACTACGAGTTGGAGCCTATAAGTGAAAGGTACCCTACTTCACTGCAAGGGTGACGATGAGGTCGAGTTGGGATGTTTTTGACAGAATAAGGGACATTTTAGTGGAATGAGGAATGGTGAAAGAGATTTCCATCGCACTTGTTTCAGTCAGTTTTTAAGAATCGGAAACAAATTGGAAAAAAAGCTTTTGGGGTAGGAGTGCATTACATGTTGCTGTACCAGTAAAATGCAACAAAAAAAAAAAAAAAAATGTGGTTCGTGGTGGACGGAAAGCCACTACAGTTTGGGTGATGGAGTATGCCTTGGTGAAGGGCTTAGGATGCGGGGAAGTGCCAAATAAGGCGGAGGCAGGCGCAATAGGACGAGTGGCTGCTGTCGTAGGCACCCAGAATTAAAACCTAAAAATACACGTAGTAGTGTAAGTCAGGGTCGATCCCACGAGAGTGTCTAGCCGAATTTGATGTTATGTGAATAAAGCTGGGGGTTTTGTGTAAAACAGAAAACAATCTCTGCAAAAACAAAAAAACAATTTAATTCGAATTCCATTAATATAACGAAACTTGGTCTCTATCAACATCCACCATCGGAATCTATAAATGATCATTGATGCAAAGAAACAATTACACTATTGATATTTCACCGTTGAAAATAATTCCTATCTCTCCTTAATTGTAATTAATTAGGAAACAAGCGTCCTAATAATCTTACCCCAAACAACCTAGACAAGCGCTCAAGATTTAATCTAGTGGCAGCCTTAAGAATTAGAGAGATCGACGAAGCTAAACAACACAAACACAAGCGGTTGTATTTAATTTAGTTGAATGTTCTTCGTAAGGTTACTAATTCCTGAGCAGCAAATTACTTACCTAGTTGCTTCACAAGTTGAGGGATTAAACAATTACGGATTTGATATCAAACTTAGCAGAGATTTCAACAAATAATACACTAGTAGGCCTCCTAGTAATTAAATGACTCAATCATGAAAATATGCACAGAATAACATTAATACTCAAACATGATTAACACTAAAAACAGAAAGATCTCACAGTTTATTTGATTCCGAGGTTTCCGTTTCCTCGACCAAGTTACAAAAGTTTAGCCGCTCATGCCATCACAAAAACTCAAGTGAAAGAAAATTTCAGAGAAGAGAAGAGAGAGAGGCGTGGTCCCTCAAAACCTAATCTGATCTCCCTTTTAAAATCTAATTAAGAATTCAAATCCCACTCAAACTCCTAAAAGAAATATTCTCCTATCCTAAATAACATTAATCCTAATTAATTCTAATTGGAAATAAAATAAAATAGAGTCCTAATAAAATAGGAAGGTGGTGTTTCCAGCTGTAATTTTCGTGCAGCATGTATGTCTTCAAAACGTGCAATAATAGACTGACTTGCATAACAAGTCAGAACGCCCAGGACGTCGGTAATACAGGTGCGTCAACTTCAAGCTCAATACAACCTTGATTCAGTCAGTATCTCTAAACTCAAAACATGAAAGTTGTAGATCTCTTTCTTAGCGTTCCACAACACTTTGAATCATCTCAACGGAGCTTGGATGAGAGAATTATGCCCGAATACGAAGCAGTGGCGAAACTGTCCGAATTCCCCTAATTAATTCGTTTTTCAATTAACACCTCCATTTGCTTCTAAACCAAAATAAAATAATAATGAGTACAATTAGGAAACAAATACATATAAAGACTAAACATTAAGGGGGTTAAATATGACATTTTGCATTCCCATCAAATTCCCCCACACTTAGCTTTGCACGTCCTGGGCAAACTAATTCAAACAAACCCTACACTCAAGTCATATCAGGAAACCACATCTCAAGTCATCTCAAGAACATCAGCATGATGCATAAGCAACAATATTTAATCCATGAATATTCATACCTAACTTAGGAAGCAGCAAATAAAATAAAACAGAGTTAAGACATTCATCTCTCTTTATATCTTCCACAATACTCTTAATCAGTCAATGCAAACAAGGGACTAATCACAACCATTCAGTACAACTCCCCTCTCAACTTTTCTTTTACTGTTTCTCTTATACTACAAACTGGGTAGCAAACTAAGGATACAATTTTTTTTTTTTTTTTTTTTTTTTTTGAAAAAGAATGAGTGCATTTTATGCTCCACTCATTCATGGTTGTGTTTATGAGTGAGTGCGTTTTACGCTCCATCTCGACTCACCACATACCTTTCTTTTTCTTTTCCTATTGCTTAAACCCAAATTTAGGACTAGCTTAAGAGAAACAATTTTTTTTTTCTTTTAAGGGTGTATACACTCCTCAATCAGCTTCGCACCAAGTCTACACAACTTCAAGACATATTATTTCAAACTACAAGATTCAAAATGATTAATTCTATTTTATGAAAGATTGCTAACATCCTAAGTCAAGGAATATGCTCAATAACAAAGTCAAGTTACTATTTCATGCATCACTAGACGTTCAGACATGACTTAAAGCATAAACCTTCCTAAAAACAACAAGTTTAAGGTGTACGTGGCGTGTTGTTATAACAGAGGTTGCCAAGTACTGCTAGGCAGTTTTTAAGGGGGTTCTGGTTTCAGCCGGTATACCCTTAAACTAGGCAGAATTTTTTTTTTTTTTTTTTTAAACATAAATTAAAACCACACCTAAACAAAACCTAAATCCCTCCCACACTTAAAACTGACATGTCCCAATAGAAGATGAAATGCAAAGAAAAGGGCAAAAATAACCAAAATTAAAATGCAGAAAAGAAAAAAACACTCCCTTGGGTTGCCTCCCAAGCAGCGCCTTTGTTTATTGTCGTTGGTCGACTCAAGGCTTTTCTTTTGCGATGCACTAAGTAACGTTCTTCCATCTCCAAGGAACACGTTCTTGAGATAACTAGGGAGAGGCTTCAAATCTGGAACGGGGGCGCAAAACAGAAGGTAAAGGCCTCTGTTAGAAATTGGTAATGCAATACAAGGAAAGTTACCTGACTGGCTGCTGTAACTTTGGAGAATCACCATGCTGCAACCGTTTCCTGCAAATCAGTACTAAAAGCTAACTCCTCATTCTCTTCCTCAGATGCTTACTAATGGCAAATCCCAATCCATCTTTTCCATTGAGTTCAAAAACTTCCTTGCTAAAGAATCAACCACGTCAATAGAATAAACATGATCATCATCATCATCATCAGGATATTTCATGGCATCATAAAATATAATTTGACAAGTTCACCATCAAATTCCATGGTAAGTATGCCACTATGAACATCTATCTTAGTCTTGGATGTTTTTAAGAAAGGTCTTCTAACAAAATAGGAGCGTTTGATCACCATTTTCCATATCAGTACATAAAAATCAGTAGGAAAATTAAGCCATACTTGTACCAAAACATCCTCAACTACACCCTTAGGATAGGCATTAGATCCACAGCTAATTGAATTACAACACCGTTTTATTAAAGGTCCAAGTTTCAAAGAAGCATATGGAATATGGCATGACATTTATAGAAGCTCCTAAGTCTAACATGGCTTTCTCAAACATAGTGTTACCTATCATACAAGGGATAGTAAACATACCTGGATCCTTGCACTTCCTGGAAGTTTCTCTGAATTACTGCAGAAACATTTTCTCCCACTCTCACCTTTTCACACCCTTTAGTTTCTGTTCTCTTAAGTGTGCACAATTCTTTCAAGAATTTAGCATAGCGGTAATTGTTTATAGCATCAAAAAGTGGAATATTACTTCGCATCTACGAAAAGTCTCATACAACTCTGTTTTGCTCATCTCTTTAGATTCTGCTAAAGCTTGAGGAAAAGGTGGTACCGGTTTA